AAACCTTTCTCCCTGTCATGTTCCTCTTCAAGCCAGGCAGAGTTACTGGTTACGTGTGACATGAGATCTCTTCCTGAGTTGTTTTTAATTCCTGTTCCTCCTCAGAATCTTTGGCACTGTGTTCAGGGGTGTTTGTACATAAATTTATGGCTGATGTATAATTACTTCTCAAGATCTTTAATTCTAACAATTGTATCCAGCACTCCAGCTTGTTCTCTATAATGGGGAAGAGAAGTGCAGCTTGATGTACTGGTCCCCCTCAAGCTTCTTGTTCTTGTATTGTGGGAGAGCAGTGCAGAATCTCCATCCCATAACTCTGTTAGCTCAGCAGCACAGCTGTGCCTGGTTCACAGCTGGGGAGAGAAGGGATGGACACCCTTATTAAACTCTTCTCCAATCCAAGGTACTTCAGTTGCTGGTGAAGTGCATATGAAAATTCCTGTCACTTCATCTGGTGCTATCTGTCCCCCATGTCATTTTGTACTAAGCATCTTTCTCTGACCAAAACTTTTAGCTAGAAATTGGAGCCACGCAGCCACTGTGACTATGGAAGAATAAGGTAGACCTGTGTGGTCACAGCAGTGGCAGCTTTGTCAGATGCTTTCGTATTAAAGAGTCTTCATAAGTTGTATGCTCAGTAATGCAAAAGACAAAAAGACAACAACTTAGGTTTCATCTTTCAGACTGGAGTTTAGAAAACACTGATCTGCCTTTAAAGCAGAGTAACTGGAATCTGGATGTCACAAGCTTCCCCTGACTGCAGAGCAGGCTGTGAAGCAGGCTTAAGAGAGAATGAGCCCCGCAGAATTCCAGGTATTGAGAAAGGTGTTTTTCCAGCTCTTAACACGTTTTAATTTCTAGTAATAAACGTATACACCTTGAGAGCAATATAAACCTTAACAATTGAGTTAGTGAGCACTGTAGCTGTACGTGAAGTTTTCCAGCAGAATCTCAGTCACCTTCAGTAATGGTTGTTACTTCCTCTCAGTTCCCATAATTGAGTCATTTTTATTTCTTGGGAAAATTCTTAGCACTGCTGTACTCTTCCTTGCTGTTAAAATAGTGTGTAGGGGTACAAACTTTTGAAGCAGATGCAGAACACTAAGTGTCCATAGTTTGTTATTCAGCAGTTTCAGGAGAAAAGGAATAGAGGAGGAGTATCTTCAGGATACACTGAGTCCCATTTGTCTTCCTGACAAAGAAGGGAGCCTTCCTGTGTTAGGTCAAAGTCTCCAACCAGGGATTTCAGATCATCTTAAGCTGTCAATGTAATCAGCAAAAAGGCAGCAGGCAGTTCAGCTCACCTATGATTTGAATTTACTTTCTTCATCAACTGAGAAGTACTGATTTGAAATCTTTTTCTCTGATACTAGCTGTGTTTTAAAGCAGTATAGCTCAGCCAGCCCAAGGCTCCATAGGCACCAACCTCAGCACCGGTTCCGATGGGTTAACATCTGTGCATGGTGGGAACCTAGAGTAAAGCACACAGTGCTAGTGGGATGGATCATGGCTGGCCAGCCAGGCACAGAGCTCAGCCTGTCCCTCTCTGGCTGGGCACCCACAGCTTGCCAGCACTCCACCAAATTGTAGCAAGTAACTGTGATGTGTGTTTTGGCAGAGGTATAGCTATTAAGTATTTGATTTTAGCCACTGGCCTCATTTTACTTAACACATGGAACATGTGTGTTGATGGAGAGTGATGAGACACATGTAAAGCTAGGACAATAACCCATAGTTTCATGGCCATGTAAAATGCCGTTGTTGTTCTCTCTTTTTTTTTTTAAGTTAGCTTTCAATCAAGGTTTACTTTTTCTGTCACCTTCCCTATTGCAGCACCTTTCCCCAGTGCCTGGAGAGTAAGCTAGCTCAGTGGAACTAAGGACTGCTCCAGGTACTCTGGCATTGATGGGCTAATCTTGCCATACTGTCGTAAAGTGTATTCTCGTTATTCGCCAGTCATCAACCAGTGTTTGTTTCTCTTCCTAATCCCAAGCTCAGATAAGACTTAAAGCACGTGCTTACTTCCTACCCACTCCACCAAGGATGTAATTTTAGTATGCGCTTAAGCAATCCTTCAGTAAACATCCTTTTGTACTTGTCTCTTGGTTCGTGTGTATATAGCTGGCTCCATTATATTTGAAAGATGGCCCAAGTCTGAATCTAAATAAAATCATTTCACATACAAGCAAAGACAATTCCATGTTACTAGCTGCAAACCTTTAAGGCCTCCAATGTGTTGTGCAGTACCACTTGGTATCTGGCAACTGACGTCGCTAATAGTTGCCTGTCAATCAGTGAATCCTTCAGGGTAAAATGCGAGGCATTTCAGTACCTTGTAAATAAGATTGGTCTTCTCCCTTCTGCTTCTGTTTATATTCTGCAGTATGTAGTTGACGAGTGGAGCGTATATGAGTATACTCTCACATGGCAGGAGGTCAGATGAAACTCTAAGAAAAGACCATTTGCTTAATGCAGGTTATTTGTTCCTCACCTCCATAAAAAGAGAATGTCACTTTGCAGCATTGCCATGACCCATCAGCATGACACTTGTCCCAGTTGATTGGCGATGGGGGAGAGAAGACCTTCCATTTTCATTTCTGCCTGACTTACTTTCTCACAACAGAACAAGGTTTTTTCTCACCTTTACCAGAACAACATCCAATGTGTTAATCTTTATGGCTGTGTTGATTGTAATTCAGCCCTAGAATGTACTAATGTAACATCATTTTGAGGCCCTTTTGTAATATAGCCACTTTGTTATACCTAGCTTTAATTTTCACTTGTTCAGCATATTGGCAGATGGGGTCTAACTGAGCTCTTGCTTGCAGGTGGTGGTGGTTGGCTTTGGTCACTGCTCATGTCCATATTGATACCAGAGAAGAGGATGTAGCATTTCAACTTGCTGCAAAATAACTTTGAGAATGTCAGTGGTGTATTGTTGTGCAAGTCTTTAATCAATGGGGTGTATATTCAATGCTGTGAGCCACCAGGCACGGGTTTTTTGCGATACTTTCCATAATACTTTTCCCACATCATGTCTTCCAAGAGTAGGTTAGGAAATACTTTTAATCCATTATCCAGTTGGTATTTTGTAGTTTGAAATACTTGAGTTGTACTTGATAAAAATTCCAGTACATCAGAAGTTAGATGTAGGATTATAAATAGGTAGATAGATATGTCAATAATCTATATCTATCTATCGCAGATAGGTGCTACTTAACTTCTAGATTATAATGCCTGTGAACTTCTCACAGAGGTGCAAATCATTTATTCACTGTCATATGACAGGCATAGTGCCAGAATTTCTTTGTTTCCACGTTTGAGGTGATACCACTTTTCTTATGTCTTTTGTAATGTAGTTAAGTACTTTAAACTTTACAACCTTGCTATTAATCTGTTTCACTATTTCTCAATGATGAATTCCATTTCTTTTGAAAACACTGTATACAGTTGTGTGCTAGTGTCAATAAAATTGACATTTGTGTAACAAGCTGTGGCATTTTCTCAAATTTCACTGAACATTGATTTAGTGTGAAACTGTTGGGAAATCCTTTCTTGCTAGCTGCAATAATACAGACCTTTATTTCAGACAAGTATTGCTTTGACTTTGATTTGTAATAGGGTACATAACTGTCATGATTACATAAAATGATAAATGTATTGGGTATTTTCCTTCTCTTTTTCAAAGGAATGATATATAAACATGAACTGGTTTGGAATTTGAAGGCATTCATGCTCTAGCAATAGATCTTGAGTTCTTCCAGAAAATAAATAGGTTTTACTACTGGCCTAATTATATTTATTCGTGCCTCTGTATAGTAAGAGTACCTCAGCTGTGTTGTAGCAGCAGGAACACTTACTTATCATAATCTAGGGAGGACATGATAGTAAAATGTGTATGACCATAATTATATATGGCAATGTATATGGTTTACGTTTAATTCTAGACAGCCTATTAGCTGAGGTAATCAAGAGCCTGTCACATTTTTTGGGTTGGACTTTGATGTATGATGACAAAACGGTACAGACTGTAAATGTTCTTCCACGTGACAAATCCCATCTTCTAAAGCAGGTTTAGATTTTCAGAGGTTTGGAGGAGGGGATAACTGGGAAAGAAAGCATTGGGCATTTTTGGAAAACTCTTTCCTTTGTGCAGTCAGTAGTTTGGCTGCCTCCCAGAAAACAAAATGCTAATTTCAGTAATATTTTATGCAGTGTATATGAATCCATGGAAGTGTAATTAATTGTCTGATACTTTAATATTTTTAATCCAGAATTAAATGGGACTTTATATCTGTGATAATCTGAAGATGTCATGCTTTGTGCATTAAAAGTATTGCTTTTCTTATGTAAATGTAATGCTAGCATTTCCATCCCACACAATCAGAGGAGCATGGAAAGACCTACAAGGTATAATATACATACTTGTGTTGTGTGTAGAAATTGGGGAACTTGTAGTTTTCTCCTTTCATGTTAGCTCAGACTGGTCTTAGCAGCAACACTGCTGTAGAAAGTGATAGTTTCTTTTTCTCTAGACTTCTGTTAGATAATTTTGTTCTAACTTGTGTCCTGTAGCTCCCTATGAAATACTGATTTGAGTCTTTGAAGTTCTACTTTGTTAGAAAGAATGGCACTCCTTCAGTGACTCACTTATTGTATTTATTCTCTTTTGTAGAGTGGATTACAATAGTGAAAGATTTGGTACTAATTTGATGTTTAGCAGTAAATACTGCAGCCAAGTCATGTACGCCTTGATCCCTTCCCTACAGAGACACTAATTTCAGCCAGTTTTATCAGCTAAAAAAACACTCCAATCCCTTGGTTAACACAAGTGGATGCATATCCTCTGGCTTCAAGTCCATTTGAACTAGTTTGAGGACCCTGATGACTCTATCTTGTAGTGTAATTTCACATGCTGCAACTTAAGGTTGTAATTCCTTTTGGTACTTTCTAGAGAGAACCTGTCCTAATTGATTTCTCTTTTACCCTTTTTTTAGCAGGTTCTCTGACTGGCAGCCCTCACCTTTCAGAGCTCTCCATCAATTCCCAAGGAGGCCCATCGGTGGCAAATATGTCTTTATCTCCAAACTTGAGCCCTGATGCCAAGCAGCCATCTCCTTTGATCAGCCCTTTGCTGAATGACCCATCATGCGTCAGGACTGATGATGAGGAAGAGGTCAAAAGAAAGGTAAGGCAGAGCCTTGCCTTTCTTCTCCATGCTGTGTTGTGGCTATTGCTGTTGGTCAAAGCGATTAATATCTAGACCCCTGCAGCTGTAGGATTCACACAGATAAATCAAATTGGGTCACTTGGTATCTGCTGTCCTTCGTCATGGTGTGTCCAAGAGCATCCCTGTGCTCCTGAGGCCAAATTCACAGTTTGGAGCAGGTCAGGCCAGAACCACAGAACTGCTTTGGCTGAGGGCTCAGTGCCCTGGGTTCATTCTCCTGAGCAGAGGTGCAGGAGTTAGGGCCCCAGCTCCTTTTTAAACAGCAGAGAGAAGATAGGTAACTCTGTGTTCCTAAGGTTAATGCGGGATAAATCTGGGCCAGTCCTGCTGCTTGGAACTTGTTTTGACAGGGTCTCCTATAAATACAGCTTGTTTTTAAGGAGTGAAGTTTGGTAGTTTGTTGTAACAAAATAGTGTATTATTGGAGGGAAAATTTCCAGGTGACAGAAGGAAAAGACACAGCATTGAGCAGGAGTGTCCAACCCAGGCTTTCCAGTCAGTCCCTATGGGGACCACCACTGGGAACATTTGGTTGTAGGAGTCGAAAACACTCTCTTTGATCAGGAAGAGTTTGGCTCAGCCCCATCATTGCAGCAAAGCCATAAGGGAGCATCACATCCAACACTGCCTTTAGAAGACAGAAGTGATTCTGTCTGTGCCAGGTTGTTCTGCATGCCTGCTGGCTCCTCCCTCCTGTGCTGCTGGGCGAGGGGGTTGCTCTTGTCTTTCTATTGTCTGAGCACCTCAGGAGGAAGAAGGTAGGAACTCAGATGGCTTTGTCAGAAAGTGGGAGCATGTGTAAAGAAGATCTCTTTTTCCCTCTGTGCATAGTTCGCAAGATATGAGAGAAATTTCAGAAGAAAAAAACCAAGAATCAGTTAAAGGACTCATGATTCTTTGTGTCAGTTTGAAGTTACAGCAGCCAGTGACTGCTGTGTATACCAGCTGATGATGGTTCCTATGGGGTTATATACCAGCTAGGAAATAACCCACAATCCACTTTGCATCCCTTTCTAGCGCATCCTCTGCATCATTGATCTTCAAGGTGGAAATGTAGAACCGAAAGATCTCTGGCTGTTTTGCTCTTCCTCTTTGCTTCCTGAGCAACACAGAACAGATCAGTTGGGATCCTTTGGCCTTTCAAAATTAAGAGATCAAAGCCACTTGGGCACAAGAGGAAAATTTTTCACAATGAGAACAATCAGCCATTGGAATAATCTCCCCAGGGAAGTGGTGGATTCCCCAGTACTGGCCACTTGCAAGATTCATTTGGACAGGGTGCTGGGACATCCAGTCTAGGTCATGCTTTGTCTAGAAAGGTTGGACCAGATGATCCTTGAGGTACCTTCCAATCTGGTATTCTGTGAGTCTGTGATTCTATGACTTTTGCCTCTTGGATAACACAAGAAGATTTTGTTTGGCTTATTGTTTTAGTTTTTTTTTTTTTTCCTGAGATTTGAAATCTGTAATTTACCCTACAATCCTAACCCTCTCCCACTGTTGTCTAGCCACAATGGGAAAAGCTTACAGATTTTTTTAAGAGTGTTTTTGCTGTGGATTCTTACCCAGAATGATGGGTGATGATGAAATTTATGATAATCAGACACTAATTCTTTTCATTTTGTCAAATTTGATTCAATGGTTATTTAGCCTGCAAAGGATTTCTTTGTGACCTTCAGAATACATCCTGCTCTGGATGTATGGAATAACCTAAAAGGAACATCAGCACCCCAGAGCTGTAGCAATCACCTTGGCAGAAAAAAAGTCTTTCAGGAACCCATAGAAAGTGCTTGTTCTCTTGTGTTTACAAGGAAAGATGTTTTTTTCCAGGGCTTAAGAACATTTAAGCATGAGTCACAGTAACCCCAAGCAAGGGTCACTAGTTTGTAACTCTCTTGGCAACTGTTGTCTGCAGTTTTTCCTTACAGAAAGCAGCTCCATAAAAGCAGATGAAAACCTAATGTGTTTGCAATTTGCAGAGATTCCCAACTGAGAAAGCTTACTTCATTGCTAAAGAAGTGGCGACCACAGAACGAACATACCTGAAGGACCTTGAAGTCATCACATCGGTATGTTTACTTGAGCATAACTCATGAAACATGTGAATCTCTAGTCAGCAATAGTATTTCATCTGCTCCATTTAACATCTTAGCTGTTCCATGCTACTTTTGTATTCTGCACTGTGGGTATTGTCTGCAATGCACAGGAGTACAGCTCTCAGGAGGAAATAACACAAAAAGCAGAAAATAGAGATTTGCACTGTGGTTAGTAACATGCCCTACAAAACTATACTAGCTTGAGGAACTTGGGACACAGTTGAGTTATTTTTTTTCTTGTTCTCATACTTTGTGGTTGTAATTACTAAAAATGCCTGTGGGTTTTCAATGACTTCTCTTAAAACTGAAGTAGCTCTCTAGGGTGATGTATAAATGTTTTCTCCTGGATTAAATGCTCTCCATTTAACATGAAATATTGTGGAGTACCTATTTGAATGATTCTGACTTTTCAGTAAGTGAAACTGTCTGTTAAATGAGTCACTAATCTGTAGCATCTGATTAGGGTGTGATTGTTAAAATCACCAAGGCAAATACATGTCTCCTTTGCAGACACAACAGTCTTGTTTAACTTCCAAGAGTAATGTGTGCAAGATTTGGCCTTAAATAACAATTGTCTGTAAAAGGGCACTGGATCCAAAACCTCTCATGGTATTTCAGTGGGGCTGCAGCCCCAGATCAGCTAGCTCTTCAATAATACAGTGCGTGAAACTGTGAGGTGCATGGCCATGTCCTGCACTGAGTGTTGTGGTAAGGAGGATGTGCTGCAGGGAAGACTCTGTTGGCACCAGCTGGGAAACAGACAGAGACACCTTCTTCCCAACTTCTCATCTGTTCCAGGAGCCCACATGGCAGATACAGTTGCTCTGGTGCCAGCTTAGACATAGCCAATGGGGGCTGGAGGAGCATGATTGTTACAGGCAGCTGTGGTCCCACTGCCTACTTACCTTGGCTTTCTGTGAAGCTGGGGCAACAAGGGAAAAGGCCAGGTTCTGCGGGGCAGTGGTCACTGCTGCAGTCTCAACACTTTTTTCATCTTCTATTTATCTCAGTGACTGCAGAAACAGAAAGTTTTAGCTCTCCAGAACTAAACCTCATTTCCCACACTGGCCCTTACTCTTGTGGTAGGCAAATTTGTATTTGCTTTGCCACCAAGAGGCATACAAGTGGCTGTTAGCTAATCATCAGACCCATCAGGTCTGCTCCACAGATGACTGGCCCAGGAGACCACTGAGAGTAGCCAGTGTCATTGGAAAAGGTAGAAGGAACAAGTGTCGTGCGTGACTTGGTAGGCATGCAGTTCTTCAACCTCAGCTCTGCTCAGTGTAGAGACAAAGCAAGGGAGAGGGAGGCTTGGGAGGGATCTCTCTTTATCTCAGGGCTGGATCAGCTCCAGCTGATTCGGTGCCAATCAAGACTGCTGTAACAGCCTTCTATGGTCCCAGCAGCCTTCTAGGCACTGCTGGAAGTCAACCATAGATAGCTAGAATTCCTCAGCGCAGCCAGGAGGGACCAGTGTTACCACGTTGAACATCAGAGACTGTGCCACCTTGGCAAGACCCCTAGTCCTATGGCTTTACATCACCCATAGGTCTAGTAGGGTGAAATAAAGAGAATATGGAGCAAAACTGAGCAGGAGCCTGTTGCAACCTTAACAGTATTTGGGAGCGACCCTCCTATTTTCTGCTGCTTCTGTCTTGTCTTGGAATTGCGAAGTACCATCCTCGTACTTGTGCACTTTACAGAGTTCATGATGTTCTCTAGCTGCACACAGTAGCATGGGCTTGAGTGCTCACTGTACCAACTCCTGTGGGAGGGATTTTAGGCAGAACTCAGGAAAAGAAAATACAGAACATGTTTTTTTGTTTTATTGGAACTTTGGCAAGTGTTGCAGTACACTTTCTCTTGCACCTACAGCATTTGCAACTTCAGTTTGTATTGACCAACCAGTTTGGGCATGTAAAGACTTTTCAAGATTCAATGAGGGATGGCAAAGGGAAAGGGAGTTTCTTTTTTAACTATGCACTGATAAGAGTACTAGTTCAGCATGCAGGAGTGTCAGGGGTAGCCTGGGTTGTATTCCTAGCACAAGCTAAATGTGGTCCTTACAGGGTCAGGTGTATAAAGACGGCAAATGATCATACCTGCTGCATTTCACCCCCTGATAATTTTGCTTCTTTTTTCTTTGTAGTGGTTTCAGAGTGCAGTGAGTCAAGAGGATTGCATGCCTGAAACACTGAAAAATCTCATTTTCTCCAACTTTGAACCTTTGCACAAATTTCATGCTGGTTTTCTCAAGGAAATTGAGCAGAGACTTGCTCTGTGGTAAGATTGTTGTTTGTTATTTAGCTGTGTTATTTCATGCAGTTGAGCGTTTTTGTATTCCCTTTTGGCTAACTCGTTGTGATCTACTGTAGTGGCAGGTTTGTGAAAGTTACAGATGTTGGTTATTAACAGACTGGGTATATTGGAACATGCTTTGTTCCTGTTTACTCAACAAACTCTGTTGTTCGGATATCTTGGGTACAGACATATGCAAATGAGATAATTGTGGATGAAGCTTTCTTTTGCCAAATGTCAGTGTTTCTATATGGCAGCTCTTCTGAAAAACACATTGCAAGCAGGCTTGTCAGTGATAAAGAGGGATTCTGTCAAATAGGTGTAGGTTTTCAGAGACCATTCTGTAGGCACCACAGCTTTGACACTCTCACAGTCTGCAGTGTACTCTACAAATTGACAGTGTTGGAAGAGGGCACTGGGCTTTAAAATTATCTACCCTTAGCATAATAGGGACAGTAAAACATGGCATTTTTGTGAAATAGCTATGAAGTGAGTAATTCTTCTCTGGCAGGGCTCTTAGTTCATTTGACCACTGATACCTGAGCAGAGGCAGCACACACAAGCCCTCTTCTTGCTCTGATTAGACCTGTCTGGACTAGGTTGTCTTGCTGTGTGTAGACTGTTTTTTTGGTAGTTTATCTTCAGTGCTGGGAGCCCAGCTTTTGCTTCTTGGTTAGAAAAGTGACAATGGAAAATCACATGAAAGCAGAGCAGAAAGACCTAATGAGTGCTAATCAGTTTAATGCCTTTTTAACTAATTGATCAAAACAAAAGCAGAACACAGTCTTAGAGTGTGTGAGTTTAGCTCTTGTGCTGTGAAGAGCGTGGTCATTGAATGAGAGCACAACACATTGCAGACTAGTGCTATCCAAATCCACCCGGCACAGTTCCAGAGTTAGCAGGTATTTTCTGGGAAGAGGGGAATGTGATACTGCCTCTTAGAGCTGACATCCTCACCCAGGGCTCCATGGTTGATGCTTGACATAAGGTTACTCCTAAGGCAGAGTGCTGCACAGCGAACTCTGCCAGTATCTCTCTTTTTTCATTGGGCTGCTACCAGTGTAATCCAGTCAAGATTCTTACTGGTGTTAACTGCTTTCCAGTAAGGAACATTTATTGCATAAGGCACTATCCAATGTTGTAAAATAGTGATTGTTTCTCCAACCATGGTGTAGGATTAACAGTTGGGGTTAAGAGTTTGTGATAAGAGAAGAAATAGTTATGCAGTTAGTAAAGGACCAAGTTCTGCTCTCTGTCAGAGCAGTCTGATCTATTGAGTTTTCTAAGTGCTGATTGTTCGGGCACATGTTGAAACGGGGATTCCCCCTATATCCTTCTGGTTGCTGGTAGCACTAAAGGTGGATGCCAGCCTCCTGTTCAGATGTGATGTTCTTCAAAAATTGGAAGGTGCTGCAATAACAGACTGCTGTGGAAAGGCAGCAGTGTAGGAAGTGTGGGGAGATATGTTAGAAGAAAGAAAGAATATTCAGGCTTTTAGACTTTCCATGGGTTTATTTTGTTTCTCCTTTTCATTTAGCTTCTTTTAGAGCTGAGTAAGCCTTTTGTTTTCTAGCTTTCCCTTGTGTCCTAAGGCTATGGTTTCACAGAGTGGTAAACCTCAGTTTAAGGCTCATAATACCATATTTAAACTGCAGTTACCCTGTGATACAAAGTGCTGATCTGCTATGAAGTGACTTTGCAATACAAATTTGTTCGAAAATATTCTGCTGAGGTAACTTTGTCCCAGCTGGGCACCTCATTCTGACTTTGTCAGCTCAGCTATTACATGTCCTTCCACAGCTAATGTAAAGCCACTGGGAATTCTCTGACGGCTGCTCTCGTTCACTTGACAGTAAAGTAACCACATTCCTCCGCTTGGTCTGCATCCAGTTTGCAACCAACAGCATGAGTTTACCTAGCATAATACCGCTGTTGTAGATGGTGTTTGTTTTGTAAAGTTCTGGAAGATCTGAATACATGCCTTAGGAAGAGAGGCGGATTTGCTGGCTGGTGTTATTTTGGAGATGGTGCTTTTATATAATGCCACAGATGCCAAAGTAAGCTGCAAGCAGTAAAATCTATCCTATAGAGATTACTGTTTAATTAAGTGGTGAATGACAAAAAATAAACACCCCCTCAGCATGTTGAAGAAGCAGGTAGTGTCAGTGTGGAAGGGAATGTCTTTAGCAGTGTGGTCAAGGTCACTTAGCTCTGTATTGCCATGACTGTGCCTCTGCCTTTGGCCCAGGGTGTTTTTAAGCCAGTGAGCTTTGGCTGTGTTCACCACTGCTGTGCAGAGCACTGCCCAGCCTCTACATCAGCTGCATAGCTCCTCATGGGCCTGGCTAAGCTGGTGGCACTGCTGCAGGCAGGGGTGGGCAGGATTCAAATGGGCTCATTTAAATCTGACCTTTCTATGTCAGCTCTTCTAAATTTCCAGGCAGGTGGAGCAGAGGAAGGTGGGACACGTGTCTTGAGACATGAGCATGCTCTGCATTCATCAGAGGGGCATGGTATGTCCTACAGAAACCTTCTAGCAGCCTTCCAGTGCCTAAAATGGACCTACAATAAAGCTGTAGAGGGACTTTTTATAAGGGCAAGTAGTGATAGGACAAGGGGCAATGGCTTTAAACTGAAAGAGGGGAGATTTAGATTAGACATAAGGAAGAAATTCTTCACTCTGGGGATGGTGAGGCCGTGCCACAGGACGCCCAGAGAAGTTGGAAGTTGTGGCTGCCCCATCCCTGAAAGTGTTCAAGGCCAGGATGGGGCTTTGAGCAACTTGGTCTAGTGGAAGGTGTCCCTGCCCATGGCAGGGGAGTTGGAACTAAATGATCTTTAAGGTCCCTTTTAACCCAAACCATTCTGAGTCTGAAAAAAGGGCCTTTGAATGAAAGGACTGTGGACTTCATCAAGCTACTTGAAAGCCCCTACCTACTCAGGTGTGCTGTGTGAGCTTGTTTCAGAGGAAGAGCTTCCTACAACCAGTCATCTGTGTTCCCCTAGCAAGTAGGATGCTGGGTTTCATCAACTTCAAGTGCAGTTCAGCCTGCTTGCTCTGCCTAGACATCAATGTGTTTGTTTAAGGTGTGTTTCAAACCTTCATGCCACGTGTTGGACACTTGTATAGGACTTGGATCACATTGAAGCCTGTGCTCTGCAAAAGAGCTGTGAAGAGAGCAAGGCCGGGGGGGATTGTGCATTACAATTGTTAGATGGGTCTGTGCTTTTAATTTGTTAAAACATCCACAGACTCACTATTTGGCTCAAAGAAGCTCAGGTTGTGTGCATTATTAAAAGCATTTCTGGCTTGCTCAAGGGCCTCTGAACTGTTTCAAGCTGCTGTCAGAAGCAGGCTGTTTGCTGCTGAGCATCTTAAGGGCTGGTATCCTTTTGACCCAGTTATAGATTCTGGCAGGTCTGATTTGTTTCTTTACACAATTCACTCATTTTTCTCTTCAGAGCATCACACCTCAGTCTAGTGCATAGTGATAAAGTTTTTAACAAGACATGAATTGATGCTGACACCAGTAGATAACTGCAGAATATACGAAGTTGATGTATTTTTCACAGCCAGAGTTTCTTTCTGGCCATGAAACTGGGCATATTCCTGGTGGGTTTATTGCACAGCATCCTAAGATCAGTCGTACCGTGCTCTGGGCAATGTTTTCTGCCCTGCCTGTGCTGTGACAGGGCCAGTGAAGCAGCCCACGAATACCCCCAGTTACCCCAACTGTGCTGAACCCTCTGTTCACAAGACTGACCATGTTCCTGGGACCATGTGAAAAAACCTCTCTAGAGGCCCTGAGGTTTGAGGAGAGGAAGGATGATCTATAGGGGATGTAGGCAGACATGGGGCTGTGCCCTCTTCACAGCAAGAGAGGATGAGGAAAAAGAGCAGGAAGCTGCCTGATATGGGACAGGGAACAGCACACATCAAGCTGTTCTGTTAGCAAGTGCCAGGAGAGTTGCACCTGGCACACAGGCATCCAGGTCTTAGTCCTGGACTCATCCAGGTCACTCCTTAGCAAGGCTTTGGGTGCAAGACCTGGAGTTCCCAACCGTTTTTGTTGGGAAGGAAGTATGGAAGGGAAGGTATATCTTAGCGACTTAAAGCTGGCTCCTATTTTCGAGGTCCTGAGAGATGCTATGGCAAGGATGTTACGCAATGTGGGCAGTGCAGGCAGAGTGTGATGTGCTCCATTAGCATCTAGCCAGTTGAATCTGAGAAGTCTGGGTTTACTCCTTTATTTAGCTAAGCTGTTTAATAAGCTGTTCATTTGGGTCCCAAACACCATTTTCCAGCCAAAAATATTGAGCTCATCTTCCCACACCCTTTAAGTGTTTGCATTACAAATTTCCCTACTGGTTTCTGTAAATTCTGACAGAAGATGGCAAATGGAGAACCATAAGTTTCTCCTTCTGGTTGACCACTAAGCATTGCAGAGGGCAATGCAGGGGCAAGCCAGAATAGCCATTTCTGCCTTAGGAAGCACTATCAGTTAGTATGAATCTGCATTTTGTGCCTTATCCATGGGCTTGGAAGAAAAAGCGCTATGTGCATTCCAGAAATGCAGGCAGACTCATCTTCTCCCAGGGAAGCCAGTAGTTTGCCTCCTGAGTTTACAGTGCTTCTGAGGAAAGCTGTTACTCAGTATGACCAGATGTGGCTGAGAAATGTGTGGCTGGTGATTTGCAAGAAAAAAGCTCTTAGATCTTAGCATATGAAGGGAGAAGCCTCAATCAGGATTCATGGAAGCCAGTTTGAAAACCTGTAATAAAAAGCACTCGGAGAGGTGTAGGGCGATGAGTTAAAATGTTGATTTATTAACCATTTTTTGTTTGGGAAGTAGTACTTGTGGTCCTGAAGAACAGCCTGATAAACAGTTTATATAAACAAGGCAGCAGCCCTCATCTTTGCCTTTGCAAATGCATGAGCACTGACTGCTCAGCTGGTTCTGTATGTCTGGTAAAGAGGGATGAAG